TAAGTTCAGGTGTTAACAACAACAACAAAAAAAAGTTTAATAGAGTTTATGACGATGGTGAATTATTATTTCTCTGACAACTCTTTCAAGCCCAGACAAGCTACAATTTGGAGATGTCAAAGTACTTAAAGTGGAGACCCTGACTGCAAAGTTTAGATAAATTGGCCCATAATAATCGTTACAGGGATGATATAAGGAATGCAGAAATTGGGGCACAAACTCCTATGATTTATGTAATATATTTATGGTCTAATAGAATATCTTTGAATCCATAATAAGAAAATCAGAGAGAGAGAGAGAGAGAGACAGAGAAAGAATCATATTCTTAATATGCTGTCTGTTGTGATCAAGAAGATGCTCAAAATGTAGAAAATTAGTGCTTGGCTAAAATGGAATGATTTGCATAGGTCTTTGTCTTCCCTAAGAGAAGAACAATGACTGACGCTTAAACCAGTTGATGTTAAGCTACAAAATGATGATCTCCCCTATAATGAGATCTCTTTATAATGAAAGCTTCTTCCTGATATCATTGGCTATGCCTTGGACAACATATTTAATATAGGCTTAGGATTGTTAGTATAAATTTTATGTTTATTCTATGGTTCAGATCCTGGTTCAAAATGTTTCTGTGAATTAGGTTTCGTAGAAATAGACAGAACACTGATTTACCTGTTCAAGATAGAATGGATAATCGTTTTTGTTTCTTTATTTTTGATTGTGATTTGGTGAAAGTTCACAGAGAAAATTTGTTGTCCACTCAACAATTCATGTACATTTTGATTTATGACATTAATTGTAATCACCACAATGTAACAACACTCTTCCCACTTCCTTCCTGTGTTTACCATTTCCTTTTGTCCTTCTTTCTTATCCATTCCTGTCTTCTGAGCTTTGTCCCTGGACAAATGGTGCCCTTTTGATTTTGTATGATTAATTGTTCTAATCAATGTGTACCTCCCTGGTATTATTGTTCACCTTGTAGTTCTGCCTATTGTTTGGCTGAAAGTTGAGCCATGAGGATGAGTTCAGTTTCAGGCTTTAAGGGTATCTAAGGGCCATAGTCTTGGGGGTTCCACCAGTCTTTATCAGACCAGTAAGCCTGGTCTTTTCTATGATTTTGAGTTTTGTTCCACATTTGTCTCCCTCTCTATCAAGGCCTTCCTATTGTGATCCCTTTCAGAGTGGTCAGCAGTGATAGCCAAGCACCATCTAGTTCTTCTGATCTCAGGGTTGTGGAGGTTGGAGTTCACATAGTCCATTAGTCCTTTGGACTAAATATTTACTTACATCTTTTGTTTTCTTCACTCACCTTTTCTCCGCATAGGGAGAAACCAATAGTTGCATCTTAGATGGCCACTCACAAGGTTCTAAGACCCCAGTCACTACTCACCAAAGTGGGATGTAAAACATTGTCTTTGTGGATTGGTATGCCAATTAACTTTAGTGTCATCCTGAGAAGACAGTCTTGAGCTCCCATGCCCGGTGACTCATTCCTTCAAGGTGTTAATTATGGCTAAGATTATTTTCATAGCTTTGTTCCCCGTACACTCTACTATTCACTGATAAATTTGCAGCACGTGTAAAAACATGTATAGAAATATCCTCTATCAAACCTATACATACATATTCATGAGTGTAATACCATTTGGTTTCCCACCCTGTTCAGCTTGAGTGTCTATCTATATATCCACTTGCATAATCTTTTTTAAAAAATTTATTTCTAAAATACATTAAATGAGTTCAAGAAACAGAAAAAAAAAAAAAAAAAAGCCTTTCTCAAAACCAGACTTTTGTGAGCTGCTGCACTCTTCATGTGCTTGGGTTTAATTACACTGGTTCTTTGCAGCTTCAGTCAGGGTCTGGAGAGCCCTTGCGATCTTACCAGGCATGATAGTCTTCTTGCAGTGGAAGCACTTGGAGGAGCACTCATTAGAATAGCACTCTGTGCACAGCAGGCGCTCATCTTTGGCAGCAAAAGGCTTTTCCACCAAAGAGTGATTGCATTTGGCACACTTGAAGCATCCTCCATGCCAGTGCCGGCCTTTGTAACAAAGATCCTTCGAGACAGGAAATGAAAGTTAATTAAAAGTGTTTGTGACAAAACAGGCTGTTTTATAAGACAAAACTGAACACTCCTGGGACTCTGGTGCCAGCAGGTTGTGCTGGTAGCTTGAGAGAAAGTTGTTATTGATATTGTTGCCCATACAGAGGATACTCTCTGGGGTAATTAAGAGCCAGAGCCTGAGGCTTTCTTCATTGGTCACTATAGACAGCTGAAAAATAAACTGACTCTTTGTTGTTTCTTGAAATTTCTCCTGTGTCCCTTCTTTAAATGACAAAAGAGATTTTTCATGAGTGATTTTTATTTTTAGGTTTTAATATCCAATTAGTGATTGAGACTGTGTTAAACAAACAAAACCCTGATGCCATGTAACAACAGCAAGGTCAAAAGTGGAAAAAAGAAAGAAAAAAATATATACAATAATGAGCATTGCAGGAGAAATGAGCTCTGTGTCTGAGTGGAAATAAGGCTGCTTTTGAAATCAGAAAACATGTACTTTAAATCTTGACACCTCTAAATTTTTATCTATTTATTTAGATACTCTTGTCATTACATAAATAAGTAAGCATTTTAGCTGTGTAACTTTGGACAAATAACTTAACTTCTTTATGCTTAAGCATCCTAAGTTAATTTATAAGATTATTGAAAGGATTAAAGCATATGCTATGGTTCTTAGTCCTAAGTATAATGCCAGAACTTGATTAACGGGTAACTTTCAAGGTCCTTATATCAACTAGCAGAGCAATACAAAGAGTTTTAATACTACAAGAAAAGAGATATCTAAAAGCATTTATCTGTTGCTTATATGCAATACTTACTTCCATGAACTGAGGTGAGACCTACCTTGGAATCTGATTCAATAGGTTCTTTGCACTCTTCACAGTAATTAGAAAAGATACGATCATAACATGAAACACAGTATATATTGTCGTCCTTTAATACATACTTCTTCCCAAGAAGTGATGTTGTGCAGTATTGACAATCAAATTGAGTAGCTGCCATTTTTGTTCAATCCTATGAATAACAATTTATATATATATATATATATAAAATTTTGTTTATTAAATAAATTATAAAGCCTCAGTATAACACAAGTCAAGCATAGGAATGAATTCATATTTTCTAGAGATGGAAACCTCCAATTTAGAAAAATATGCTTGTAGTCATGGTGATACTTGGGGTGATCTTGACAGTTCCTCTGTCTTTTATTAACAAAATTCATGAAGCCTGCAGTCAGATTGTGAAAACATCTTGCATTCATCACGTACTAACATGGAAATCAGTGAGCATGGTATGTGTTGAAATAGGGTAGTTTTACCTCAGAGATATAAATATGAACTGTTGATAAGACTTCGCAAACTGTCATCACTTACTATCTTGCCAGACAGTTCTAGAGCCAGAGTTTGATGGAAATAACAACAATCTTTTTTTTCCCTCTAATTTAAATAGAAATTAATAAAGTATATTGCATTTTCTAGTCCATTATTTTATTCCTCATATCTTTATTGGGCACCTAATGAGGGCACTTGAGCCTGAATGGCACAAGTGTTTTGCAATTGGCTGCTAACCTAAAGGCTGGGAGTTTGAACCCACCTGGTGGCTTTGTGGAAGAAAGGCCTAGTGACCTGCTACCATAAAGAGTACAGCCAAGAAATCCCTATGGAGCAATAGTACTCAGTAATACAAGGGATCATCAAGAGTCAGTACTGACTCTACAGAAATGATTTTTTCTCTCCAACTATTTTTTATATCTGTTTTATTTTCATATAAATTTATTTTCTGGCAACAAGGAGAAATAAATAAAATTATTATATACACATATTCACAGTGAGTAGGTATCACCCAGTACAGTAATTCATGGTGTCAAGCCCCCCCTCCACCATGGTTGGGCCCACCTGGTATGTACCGCTGGTGGGAGAATGACCCAGCCCTACCTCTTCTCCTCATCCCCTTCAGGGCCTAGCTCCATGTCAGGAAGTCCCACATCCCCACCTCTCCTTGCAGCTCCAGCCATCTCTCATTGGCCAAGGAGATCCTCCTTTTTGCCCAATGTTAGTACCATGGTCTTCTTAACTGCATCCTGACTGGTAAACGGTGGAGGACAGTGATGAGTTACTGAACTGAGTGATGGGTGACACTAGTCCTAGTGACAGTACTGCCTTGGTGGCCTCTTTTCTTGTGGCACTGGCCCATCTGCTGCTGCCACCTCAGACCTTGGGGGTCATTTTGGTGTCACTTTCTCTGATAGTGGCAGGGAGTATGGTCTTCACCCTCATACCCCCTCCCCCAGTGATACCATTGCATATTCATTCATCTCTTGAAACTAAACATGATTTTTAAAGTATCTATCTATCTACATTGGGAGTCACAAAAAGATCACTCCCATGTTCAATGATTCCTAGTAGGACTTACAGAACTTAATATACAGTTGTACTCATGGCTATTATTTATTTTAGTGAAAGGATGCAAAACAAAATCAGCAAAGGGAAAAAGTACATGGGTCTTTTCCAGGGGAAACTTGACAAAAGTTTGCAAGAATCTTGTTCCAGTGGAAAACACATGATGAACATAATTACTCCAGCAGTTAAATGAAGTGCTGTGTACCACGGAAGCTGTTGTTGTTAGGTGCAGTCGAGTTGGCTCCGACTCAGCAACCTTATGGACAACAGAATGAAACACTGCCCAGTCCTGTGCCAGCCTTACGATCCTTGCTATACCTGAGCCCATTGTTGCAGCCACTGTGTCAATCCACCTTGATGAAGATCTTCCCCTCTTTCGTCAACCCTCCACTTTACCAAGCATGACATCCTTCTCCAGAAAATGGCCCCTTCTGACAAAATGATCAAAGTAGGTGAGACGGAGTCTGGCCATTGTCACTTCCAAGGAGTGTTCTGGCTGCACTTCTTCCAGGACAGATTTGTTAGTTCTTTTAGCAGTCCACGATACTTTCAGTATTCTGTGTGAACACCACAACTCAAAAGCATCAACTCTTCTTCGGTCTTCCTTATTCACTGTCCAGCTCTCATATGCATGTGAAGCAATTAAAAATACCATGGCTTGGGTTAGGGACACCTTAGTCTTCAAGGAGACATCTTTGCTTTTCAGCAAAGATGCAAAATCTTTTTGCAACAGATTTGCCAAATGAAATACATCTTTTGATGTCTTGACTTCTACTTCCACTGGTGTTGATTGTAGAGCCAAGTAATATGAAGTCTTGAACAACTTCAATCTTTTCTCCATTTATCATGATGCTGCTTATTGGCCTACTTGTGAGGATTTTTGTTTTCTTTATATTGAGATGTAATCCATACTGCAGACTATAGTCTTCAATCTTCATCAGTAAGTGCTTCAAGTCATCCTCACTTTCAGCAAGCAAAGTTGTGTCATCTGCATATTGCAGGTTGTTAATGAGTCTTCCTCCAATCCTGAGGCCACATTCTTCTTCTTGGGTTATTTGATCAGCATGCAAATTGAATAAGTATTGTGAAAATATACAATCTTGACACACTTTCTTCCTGTTTTAAACCATGCGATATCCCCTTGTTCTATTCAAACAACAGCCTCCTGGTTTATGTACAGGTTCCTCAAGGAAGCTATTAGACCTTAAAGACTCAGTGCCCAGGGTTTTTACTGGGAGATAGTCACATAAAACCCACAGTATAACATGTACAAAAGTTCCAGACTCCCAGGAGGAAAGCAAATGTTCAGCATGAATCATATTGTTTCCACAGTGAGCCAGTTTTATTGGTTCTCGGAATGAAGAGAACCCTCCTGAAATTCAGGCTCCACTTTACAATCAGGCCTGTTTAAGGATTGAGGGTTTTCATTTTTTTGTTTTTCCTTAAATAAGGGTTCTGCTTAATTACTTGTTAGGTATTCCTGTAACATATGCCCTCCCCTTGGGACTTCTGCTGTCATTCAATGAACAAATACGCTGATGACTGCAAAATCTGTTTTGTCCAGACCTTTTTACTAGCTTTAGTAGATGCCTCCTAGCATCTCCATTCAAAGATCCATATGACTCTGGTCATATACAACTCTCAGCAGGTGAGATTTTGTCCAAGTGTCATGTCTTTGTCACTGCTGTTCAGCAATTGTTCAGATAAGACCATCATTGGAAAATGGAACTAGGCTTCTTCAGGCTTTGCGGTGTTTGCCGTTTAGCTCAATGTGGTGCAGTGAATTGCTTGATATGGTTCTTTCAAGCCATGGTATTTGTGACTTCCACCACTTGACTGGATGAGACTTTGTAAATGTAAGGTCCTTGTGGCTCACTAAGGGGATTGGATAGCTTGCTAATAATAATGCAAATAAGGTTTATGGTTGGCTTGTGGTGGTAGGACTATGAAAATAACATATATAGAACCCTAGCACAGTGTTGCTATCTCACTGGGCTTAAAATGAGCCATCCCAAAGGCAGAAAGGGGGATCTCACTACCATCAAGAAAGAGGACTAGGAGTGGAGTGCATCCTTTGGACCCGAGATCCCTGTGTTAAACCTCCTTGAGGTTGTAACACTTTGCTGAGATGGCAAGAGGCAGCAAGATGCAGCAGCCGAGAAATGGTGGGAGCAGAATGGGAAGACCGGGCAGGAAACCCAATAGGAGACCTGGCAGAGGACTCATCAGGAGACAGTGCAGTGGGCTTCCTGACCCATGGAACGAGAGAGTTGAGCACCTTTGGGCAGGAGGTTTGCTGGTGGAGTTGTGTGCTTCTGGACACTTGGTGAAGCTAGTTTTTCCTTTCCACAGAGCAACAGCTGAGCACCTTTGGTCTGAGGTTTACTGGTTAAGTGGGGTGCTTCTAGGCACTTATCATCAGAGCTAAAAGAGCTTTGTAACACTTGTCTGAGCAGCAGAAAGGCCAAGGAACCACAAGACCAACAGGCTAAAAGCCAGAGAGAGGTATGCCTGGGGCGATGCTGAGAAGAGGCTGCCTTGATTGAAATACTGTTTCCGATCTTCAATTGTAACCTATTCCTTCCTTAATAAACCTGATAATCATAAGTATTGTCTATTGCAATGAGTTATTAAACCCAGTAGAAAAGTAGAGAATGCCATGGGAGGGACAGTTGGTGTCAGAATTGGTAAAATGTTGGAGGGTGAAGTCATATCTAACCTCCATTCCATAGGAATCAGTCTTGGGTTGTTGTGTTGATCTTGATCTTCCTTCCCCCTTGTGAAATTAGAGAAGGTCAGATGCTTCTGCCACACCATTTTTACACTAACACAAAAATTCAGTAAGAACAGTGGCATCTTATTAAATAAAGAACTGATATGAAACACAAGCCAAGGAGAGAATAATGATTATGATTATTTTATAAATTTAGGAAAACCACATGAGAACAAAACATATGGATTTCTAAAGGCATGGATTATTTGCTCAGCATACAGATAGAATAAATATGGTGAAAGGATTCAAGACACTGAACATGAATTTTTCCTTTTTGCCAAAAGCAGTACAACTGGTTTTCCTTTGAAAATAGATTTTATTTTAATCTCTGGCTTTACTGGAATATATTAAGAGTTATGAATATTTTCCAGTTCTCCACCCCAGAAACTTGTTGTGCAATTTTTACATAATCACAAGATCACCAGTCGTTATTATGATGCTTTTGATGGTATTATTGATGCTAGTCTGAACAGTTGTTCCCATAGATTTTGCCTTTTCTTAAATTAGTGATAAAATTTCTAGCACAATGCCTTGCTGAGTACATTTGATTATTCATTGTATGTATTATCATTTTGCTATACTGCCATTCACTAATAGAGAAAAGATTGAAGATTTGGAACATTTGAGTCTTTTCTCAGAAAAAATGAAGATTTGGTCTATAAAATTCCAAGGGGAACAGGGCCAAAATTAACTGCTAGGAACACTGAATTTCCTATTTGATTAATTCCACAGAAATGACCCTTCCTAGTTAATACAAACACACTCAAAGAGTGACTGAGAGCTTGGAAACAGGACAAAAATAGATCTGATTCTCTTGAAAGGTTTTAAAA